TTTATAGAAACACGATTTTCCAAGACTGAACTACAAAGAGATAGAAAATCTGAGTAGAGCAATTATGAAGATTGAATCAGTAATCAAAAACCTCCAAACAACAAAAGGATCTAGGGACAGATGGTTTCACTAGTGAATTCTATCAAACATTTAAAGATTTAATATCCATCTTTCTCAAATTCTTCCAAAAAACTGAACAGGAGGGAATGCTTTCAGACTCATTTTACATGATCAGCATTATCCAGATACCCAAACCAGACAAAGACACCACAAGAAAATTGTAAGACAATATCCCTGATAAACATAGATGTAAAAGTCCTCAACAAAATATGAGCAAACCAAATGCAATATATTAAAATGATCATACACCACCATCAAGTGGGATTCATTGCAAGGATGGTTCAACAACCACAAATTAATCAATATGATACACCACATTAACAAAAGGGAAGATAAAAATCATATGATCATCTCAAAAGATGCAGTAAAAGCATTGGACAAAATCAAACATCCACTTATAAAAAACTCTAAACAAAGTAGGTATAGAAAGAGCGTATCTCCCTGGGTGTTACACGTAAGTGATGAATCACTAAATTCTCCTGAAACCAGTATTACATTGTATGTTAACTAATTAGAGTTTAAATACAAATTTGAAAAGAAGGGGCGGGTTGAGTGACTCTTGATTTTGCCTTGGGTCATGATCTCAGGGTTGTGGGATGGAGCACCTGGTCAGGTTCTGCACTCAGCATGGAGTCGGCTTGGAATTCTCTCTCTCCCTCTCCCATTACCTTTCCTGCTGCACTCATGAGCTTTCTAAAATAAATACTTTTTTAATTAAAAAAAAAAAGCATACCTCAACATAATAAAGGCTGTTTATGACAAACCCACAGCTAATGTCATACTCAACAGCGAAGAGCCCAAAGCTTTTCCTCTAAGACCAGGAACAGGACAAGGATGTCCACTCTTACACTTCTATCCAACACAGTATTGGAAGTTGTATCCACAGCAATTAGGCAAGAAATGAAAGGCCTACAAATTGGAAAGAAAGAAGTAGAACTATATCTATTTCCAGACGACATAATACTAAAAAATAAAAACCTTGAAGACTCCACAAAAAAGGATTAGTAGTGATGAATTCAGTGAAGTTGTAGGATACAAGATCAATGTACAAAAATCTGTTGTTTCTGTATATGAATAATGAACTGTCAGAGAAGTTCAGAAAATCCCAATTACAGTTATGTTAATAACAATAAAACACCTCAGAATAAATTTAACCAGGGAGGTGAAAGACCTATATACTGAAAACTATAAGCCATTAATAAAGAAATTAAAGAAGATATAGGTAAGTGGAAAGATGTTTCATGCTCATGGATTAGAAGAATTCCTACTGTTAAATATCCATACTAACCAAAGCAGCCTACAGATTTACTGCCATTCCTATCAAAATACCAATAGCATTTTTCACAGAACGAGAACAAGTACTTGCACAATTTATGTGGAACCACAGAAGACCCTGACTACTCAAAGCAATGTTGAGAAAGACCAAAGCCAGAGGTATCATGCTCCCTGATTTCAAACTAGAACACAAAGCTATAGTAATCAAAACAGTATCTCACTAGTGCAAAAAACACAAAGATCAGTGGAATAGAATCAAGAGCCCATATATAAACCTTCATGTATATGGTTAATTTTAAAAAAATATATGTATTATTTGCTTCAGGGGTACAGGTCTGTGAATCATCAGTCTTACACAACTCACAGCACTCACCATAGCACATCCCCTCCCCAACCATCGTATCTGTCCAACCTCCCTCCCCTCCAGCAGCCTTCAGTTTGTTTCATGAGATTAAGAGTCTTATGGTATGTTTCCCTCCCTGGTCCCATCTTGTTTCATTTCTCCCTCCCCCCCCGACCCCTCGCCCTGCCTCTCAAATTTCTCATATCAGATAGATCATATGATAATTGTCTTTCTCTGATCAACTTATTTTGCTTAGCGTAATACCTTCTAGTTCCATCCACATCGTTGCAAATGGCATGATTTTGGTTTTGATGGCTGCATAGTATTCCATCATGTATATATGTACCACACACATCTTCTTTACCCATTCATCTGTTGATGGACATCTAGGTTCTTTCCATAGTTTGGCTATTGTGGACATTGCTACTATAAACATGCATGTGCATGTGCCCCTTGGATCACTGCATTTGTATCTTTGGGGTTAATACCCAGTAATACAATTGCTGGGTCACAGGGTAGATCTATTTTCAACTTTTTGAGGAACCTCCATACTGTTTTCCAAAGTGGCTGCACCAGCTTGCATTCCCACAAACAAATCGAAACCACAGGTTCATTAATTTTTGACAAAGGAAGCAAGAGAGAAGGAAGAAGAGACAGTAAATGGTGTTGGGAAAACTAAATCACTACACACAGAAGAATGAAACTGGACTGTTATTTTATACCATATAGAAAAATTAACTCAGAGTGCATTACAGACTTGAAGACCTGAAACCATGAAACCCTCTTGTATGGCGTTGTCAATTGGTGTAGCCACTGTGGACACAATACAGAAGTTTCTCACAATCTGAAAAGAGAAGTGCCCTGTGATCCAGCAGTCCCACTACTAGTTATCTAAAGAAACTGAAGACACTAATTTGAAAAGATAAATGCACTGCTGTGTGCACTGCAGCATTATTTACAGGAGCCAAGATAAGGAAACAACCTTCTTGTCCACTGACGATGACTGGATAAAGATGTGGCGCGCGTGTGTGTGATACATGTATATACAGTGGAAGCTTATCTGGCCATAAGAATGAAATCTTGCCTTTTGCAACGTGGATGGACCTAACGGATATTATGCTAATTTAAATAAGCAGACTTCGACAAAGGCATGTACCGCATGACTTTACTTATATGTGGAATCTAAAGAATAAAACCTAATAAATCTAAAAAATAAAACCCAGACTCATAGAGAACAGATTGCCCCTTGCCAGAGGGGGAAGTGGGTTGGAGTAGGGAGCAAAATGGTAAAGAGATCAAGAAGTACACAAACTTAGAGTTGTAAAATAAGTTGGGTCCTGTGGATTTAATACACAGCATGGAATACAGGCGGTAATTTTGTATTAACTTTGTGTAGTGACACATGGTACCTAGACTTAGTGTGACAATCATTTTGCAATGTATATAAATGTGGAATCACTAAGGTGTACACCTGAAACTAAAATACTGTATTTCATACCAGTTATACCTCAGTTTTTTAAAAAACTAAAACAGTTAGTTTCATTGCATATCGGTAGGACTTATAAAACCAAAGTGTCCACAGTGACGGTCTTAAAGAACAGGAGGCTTAGTCAGTGCACAGCAGCTGGCTGTTCATCCTCTCTAGTAAGGCTGGGAAAGAAGGAGATTAGCTTTAACGGTAATAGAAGAGATTTACAAGACTTGTAATGAGAAATTAATCACCAGCCGAGACTATTTGAAAAATAAAAGTAGAAATGGAGGAATGATGTCTTCCATTGGCTTTAACACAGACTATAACATCTGCTTGAGGAACTTATAATTGGTAGGTTATTGGATCCAGTAGTTTTCAACTTTGGGGAAGTCATAGACCCCTTTAAGAATCTGATGGGGCTCCTCTCCAGAAAAATGAACACACAAATAAAACTTTACATGCAGTTTCAGGGAACTTACAGACTCCTAATTAGACCCTAATTTAAGACCCCCTGGATTAGGTCCTAAGTCCTAGGGTCCTAAAGGTTCTAGGTCCTAGGTCCTAAGTCCTAAACTGTGATACACTCCATGGCTTAATTTTCCCAAACATAACAATGGAATCTGAAGATCAAATGTCAAACTCTGGATTTTCTTCCTCTAGATTTCTAACACTTGGCATGTATAGTGTTGAAGTAAAAACAAAAAAATATTAATTTTACTTCTAAGTTCAGTTCTTGGTCCTAGAGAAGCCAGATGTTTAATTTTAAAAGTCACTGGCTGGCTGTAGGTCATCTTCATAAACACACAGTAAGACTAGGACTTCGCCTGGTCCCCACTCCCATTTCCGGACTCACAGGGGACATGCAAACAGATGCCAGCGTTATTAAACACTCGCCCACCTTCTAACTGCCCTGCTGTGAATGTCCGGCTGGACTTGGAGAAACTGTCTACTTACCATCTTTCCTCAGTCTTATGCCCAAGTTTCATTGACTACAAGTTGGAAAATGGCTACCCAGAATTACAAATCAGGAAATCATTTGGCCCTCTCCCTAAAATAGAGTGTTCATCCTCTGAGGAAGAGCATGTGTGTGTGAAACGTGTGATGAGCTCCCCTAGACGTGGTACATGAGCATGACGCTGTGTGGTTTTCCTGCTTCCTCTGCAACTGGCCTCTAGTTCACCTGCGAGTCCTGCGGCGCTCCCTCTAGTCCCAAATCGGAAACATCCTTGTCTCTTCACCAAGAGTCAAGAACTCTGGAATCACACACTATCCCGTGGGCAAGAGCATCATTGCCACGTCTGCACCTTGTTGTCGGTCTTCACTGTACTTCACGCTGCTAAGGCCAAGCCTTAAATTTGTAGCCGGGGGTGTCTTACTGATATTAGAAACATTGCTGATGAGTGGAAGGCAGTGATCTCAGCCAGAGTGTCCTGACCGTGCACACGGCAGGCTGGTTCTTCTGACAAGTGTTCCTTCCCATTGCTGAAGGGGAGGGGGGCGCTGAAAGTGTCTCCCCTCCGTCCTCTGCTGAAACCTTCATGCTCTGGGTGGACTCTGCCACTGCTCCAAGACTTTCCCAGTTTGGGAGCCAGAATCTAGGAGGACAGGCCGTCCCAGCACCGAGCCCAGCTGTCGCTCTGCTCAGTGACTGATGGAGTCCCGCTGTCCCTTGAAAGCCTGTTGGCAGTTCACACCCATAACGCTTATTTAGGTTCTCTCTGGGGTGGAAGCTTACGGTAGAATCGTACGTGCTGGTGACTCTTTATTCCTTGTGTGTCTCCCTCCCCACAGAGAACGTCATCAATGGGCAGGACTACGAAGTGATGATGCAAATTGACTGTCAGGTGATGGATACCCGGATCCTCCACATCAAGAGCTCGTCGGTTCCCCCTTATCTCCGAGATCAGCAGAGGAATCAAACCAACACGTTCTTTGGCTCCCCCCCAACAGCCCCAGAGGCAGCCCACGTTGTCAGCACCATCCCGGAGTCACTACAGTAGTCTCTGAGGCTGCGCCCGAAAACACGGTGGGACCCTGCCGAGCTGGCGAGCAGGGGAGAGACCTGTTCCTGTCTGCCCTCTTGGTGGCTGGCAGAGAGCTGCCTGGCACTGGAGTTCAAGCGACAGTGACAGAAGTTGTTTCTCACCATCTGCCCTTCTACTGGCAAGCACTGACATTCAGACGCGAGGCGGACCGCCTTTATCCGGTGGCAGGCGCTGCTTGCATCCTCCGTGGCGGCCCCGTGTCGATTTTTTCCCTGTACCTTCCTCAACTGCTTTTCCTTCTGTACTTTTGTGTTTAGTCATCGTTAAAATAAGATCGTCTTCCCTTCTCTGCCATTTCACTTACTGAGAGATTTTTATTTACAGCTGTACAGCACACTGATGTTCCCAGCAATTAGAGTTTTTATTAATTTAAAGCCAATCCATCGTGTATATAGTGCTTATTGGAAATAGATTTCAAAACCAGAACAGTGAAAAATGTCCCAAGAAGAGTCAAGACAATTGAGAACTTTAGTAAAAGGGAAAAAAATCCTCATTGGTAAAGTTGGTCTTGGCCAGGGAATGGTGGCTCCCTTCTGACCCGGTGTGTGCAGAGGCCCTCGGGGAGGGCCGAGGGCGGAGAGCGTCAGGGAAGGGCAGAGAGCGCGGGCTGTGGGAAGGAGCCGGCTCCGTTACATGCTCAAAACGCTGCAAGTTTTGATGTGCCCGGAGCGGAGGGTGAAAGCCACGGCAGCCTTCATTCTAAGGCCCTGCAGGTTAACGTATGCGCTCGCATGTGCTCTTTCCTCGTCCGGTGCAGGTCCGCAGGGACCCTGGGACAGACCCTTCAGCTTTGCTGTGAGTCCCCACCCCGTGACACGTAACACGATGACACCGAATTCGGCTGAGGGACACGGAGCATGCTGTTAAGCAGATGAGTTTTTTCTCCTCATGAGAATTGACAAGTATTTATTCCTCAAGACTCTGCGGACAAGCTGGCTTAGACTCCAGCTCGGGGAGGGCATCCCACAATACAGCAAGAATTCCCAGTTTCTCGAGTGAAAAGACAGTGAAGGAATTAACTTTTTTGTCTTCCCATGGTTGGAAAAAAAAAACAAACAAAAAAAAACAAAACCAGCCCTACTGCATTCCCTCATCTCTCACTGTACCCTGACTACTTTCTTCTGATGTTATTTTGCCTTCAGTTTATAAAGTGAGTCCTGTTCGACGAAGCTTCACACTTTCTTGCTAGAACCGGTTCTGCAGACGTGGCTTCTTACCCAAATCTGCTTGCCCGGGTCAGCTCTCGTCCCTTCCAGTCCCTGCTCCGGCCTTCCGCTGCTCTGAGCCGAAAGAGGAAAGACCGTCGGTGCGAGTCCTGCGGGGTGCCCCGGCCCCCTTCTGTCCGCGAGGCCTGGCCTGGCTCCTGAATAATCCCGAAGAAACCTCTGGACAGCGGCCTCTGCCCGAGCTCATCAGATGTGCTCCGAGATCCGTGTGACTTCGTGTGGCCAGCGGGGCACTCTGCTGCCCGGCTCCCCGGGAATCTGGGGTTCAGCCACGTTAATGAGCCTCACTCTGCCCCTGCCCCGCCCCACGCGAGCCTGTGAGAGTCCAGGCCACGCGGCCCCCAGTGCGGCTGTCAGGGCAACGTCCACATGGGAACTCCCTTCCCGGGGCCATTCCTCCTCTAACGGGCTCCGGGCCCCTCGGACAAGACCTGCAGGCGGAGGACAGCCTTCCCTCGGGAGTGTCTCCTCCCGTCCCGGCTCCTCCCATCCGCCGTGCACACCAGCCGAGCCAACAGCCATGGCCCCAGCCAGCGGGAAGGGGACCGTGGTTGTTCCCAAGCTGCTAGTCCATTGGAGCGGTCAGAGCCGTCACGGTGGTTGCGGGCGCAGCCTCACGGACGGTGCCGCCTCTCCCGTGCTCCGACTCTCACCCGCACACCGTCCCTGACCGGTCTGACCGACGGTGGCAGTCATGTCATATCTGCCCCCCACGACGCCTCTCCTGCGGGTGGGGATGCGGGGGCCGGCAGCCTGGGAGCCGCGCCCGCTTTCTCCCCATTACCGGTTCTCCAGGGGATCGTTCTGAGATGAGGGAGCAGCCCTCTCCTCAGGGTGAGTCCCCGGAAGGGAGGGAACAGACACTGCGAAGCAGTCCTCGGCTTTTGTAACTGCCGTCAAAGCTCACGAATTCCTGGCCCCCCCCCCCCCAGCGGTTTTGACAGAGCGTCTGCTCACACCCGGTCGGCCTGTTGGGAAAGAGAAGACGGCTCTGCCTGATGAATATATTAAGCCGCTTTTTGAGTTTTAGGATAAAATTGCCTTTTGGGGATTGCAGCCCGGGATATAGATCAGTATCTTAATTTATTTTTTTATTAAGTGGGATTTTGCAAGCTTGTGGGATAATTAGATACACTAGAGGAGTCAAGTCCACCCATGGGGTAGAGAACTCTGTTCCCTTTGTCCCCCAGTCCTCCTCCCCCAGGCAGTGCTGGCAGGCGCGTCCGGGAGCGGCTCTCCCACCTGCCTGTGAGCCCCGCGCGCGGAGGCTTCGTGGCAGCAGATGGTTCCTTGCGCTAACTGCGGAGTCAGGCGTTGGGGCTCCCCGCCCCCAGAGGCTAGCGCCCCCAGCAGGACAGACGAACGGCTCCATCAGCCTGGTCGTGTGAATAGCCTCTCTCCAAAGCTGGGATTCCTAAAAGGATCATCTTGAATCAAAAGTTTGCCATGCTTGTCATCTAGAAGCTTTCCGGTACATTACTGGGTGAGGTTTATCTTTTCACAAGTACAAAAACAAAAACAATCTGTAACTGTAAAATCTCAGAGCATCTCCGAACTTTTCTCTAAATGCCTACAGGCCCCAGCACCAAGCAGACACGTCTCTGCCTTTTCTTGTGAGCAAGCAGCAGCCACGGAGGTATTTGAAAGCAGCAATGTTATGAGTCATTCTTGAGCGCTGAATAAAGAGGACTTAGAAAAAGATAAGCAACTTGGGATTCAGACTGATTTTTCTATCCTTTTTAAAGAGACACCGTCCCAACAAGCCTTCCCGGCCTGACTCTTCCACCCCAGGCGTGAGCCCCCGTCGGCACAGCAGGGACCCCGATGAGACGGCCGTGGCTGCGGCCTTTGGCGCGATGGAAACCAGACCCCTCTCCGGCTCCTTGTGACATTTGCACTAATTTCTGGCTCTTGCCCTCTCACTCAGCTCAGGTTATAAAACTTGACAGAAAAAAAGCACAGGGAAAAATCCGTATTTGACTTTCGAACACTGAAAAGTCTCCAAACGACTTCTACTTTCAGCTACGTAGGAGAAGTCACCCCTTTCTACTGACGAGCCAGAGTCTGACCCCATGTCCCCTGCAGCCTGACCTCAAGGACAATTTCCACCTAGTTAAGCTTGGTCCACTGCACCCCCGTGGGCCGACTCCGCCTCCGGCAGGAGATTCCCAGGAACTGAAGTTTGAATGAAGCCTTTCATCCCATTGGCTGTTTCATGCACACTCACCTCTCAAGATCACTTCATGCTGGAATCGACAGATGCTTATCACCACCTCTGCATCCCCACATTGTTACCAGAATGCTACTTTTGTCCTTCCTGAGTCATTCTGATTTACAGAAATTAGGATCTTTGCTGCTAATGTGAGCACTAATTACATCACATACCTTAAAAACAAGAATAAAGCCTAAAGAAAGCAAATGTGAGAAATTCTCGTTCCTACCCCGAGTCACATCGGGGGAGGGGGGCAACTTCTGTGTCCCCTACTCCTAGAGTTTGTGGTAGATTTTTATTTTCTAGGAAAACAGAGCACTAGACTACCCAAACATGTTGCTTGAGTCCAGATGGAACTGTGCACATAAAAGAAATGCCGTTTTCTCCCACCTAAAATAGAAATCAGAGTGTAGCCTGTTAACTTATATTTTTAGTGACTAAGCTTAAAACAAAGTTTATTTTAGATAAGTCCAGAGCTTTGAGCAGCTTGTTCTAAAAGTTGTGTTATCTGTCGGATTATGAAAAGACTGACAAAGGCATCGTGATCAGGAAATTTGGTCCTGGGTGTGAATCGTGTCATGGCTAGCCACTGCCAAATAGTGGACACCGGTCTTGACATAGCGGTTTGCTGACTTTAAGCATAAGAGGTATGCCACATTAAGAGACTTAATTATATTAGTTTGGGGAACCAAGGAGTAAATAAATCGTAGTTTATCACCTACCAGGGTCAGCAGACAGCACCGCTCCTGACCACTAGGTAAACCAAGAGTCTTGATCTAGGTGGGGGACTGCCCCCGAGAAAGACCGGCGGGGTGACTTCTTCACAGTCAGGGTCTATCAGCCCACTCAACTCACACTCAGCCCTAACTGCCAGGTCAGTCGTCTAGATAAGAGGGGAAAAGAACTTTAGATAAAAGCTCCCAGGTACTACGGGCCTTAAGACACCAGTTTCCTGTTTCTCATCATGTTGGCAAGCGTGGCCGGGCTAAGAGCCATATGCTTCACCCGCGGAGCCGTCAGAGCCAGGGGGGAGAGCGTCCACCAAGCTTTCCACCAGGGTTTTCCTTCCGAGGTTGCATCCGCGCTAAATGAAGAGCAGGTTAAAGGTGAGGGGGAACGAGGGGCCATCCTCTCCTGCGGTAGCTGCGTCGGTTTACGGTGCGTCAAGAAACCGTGACAACAGACTTACGCGGTTGTAAGCAAGTCTTCACAATGCAATACTTGTTCTTTGTCTAAGATTCAAATAAAGAATTTTTAAACTTGCCTTATTTTGTTCTGTATATATAGAGAAAAAAAGACCCCAAATGAATCTTGAATGTGAAGAGATGAGTAATGAGAAGGGAAACCCAAAATGGCTTGTGGCCTGTTACTGTTTAGATGAAAACAATAGAACTCTTTTCCACTCTCCCCCCACCCCAGCCTGGTTAAGTAAAAGTTTCCTTTATTGTGTCCAAATATTTCAACTACAGTCTTACCAAGGAGAAAGATTTGTCTAAGAACAGCTACTTCATCCTTCTCCGTCAGGATCCTGGGTTACTCAGTCACATCACAGGCGTCTTCCCAGCTTGGAATGACCAATGTCACCATGCAGGCCGCTCGTCCTGCAGACTGCCAGCAGAGTCCGTCCACAGGTGATAAGTGCGGGCACTCCCTGAGTGCCTAGTGTTTGCCTCAAACACCGCCCTAGGCTCACCAGTACCGCT